AACAATAGTTGGCTTTCCCTGTTCTTCACTGGGTTCCGTTCTATACTTCTTCATTCTGATTCATTCTGTTAGTGTGAGAGACAGGAACTCTCTCAGCCAGAGAATAAAGCAGGAGCAGAATTGAATGCATTGTGAATGCACCACACTGTCTTATTTAATGGAAGTCTCCAATTGTTCCTGCACGTCCAAATGTTTGATGTACAAGATACAGGAGTAGCATGTTTACTAATACCACCATTGTTCTGTACATGTCTCAGTATAAGAAGAGAATTTTGGTAACATGTTTTCCAGAAGTACTCTTGATTCTAGGAGTCATAATTTTGACAAGTCTGGACACACTTTCATCTTCAATGAGAGGATTAGAGAGGTTGGCTTTCTTTAATAGTCATTTGACCAGCTTATTTTTCAAAATTAGCCTCTGTGTACTTTATTAAGATTTTTAAATTGTGTTGTTTTGGAGTTTGACTACTATAAACAAAATGTGCTTAAAGTACCTTATTTTTCTCAAACATTTTCTTCTTTTCTTTGAATTTTTTATGTGAATACTTTATTTTGTATCAATCAAGAATGACTTCATGGTCAGAAAGAGAAAGACAGTTACCATATGATATCACTTATGTGGAATCTAAAATATGATACAGATGAATTCATTTATGAAACAGAAACATTCACAGACATAGAAAACAAACTTATGGGGACTTCCCTGGTGGCACAGTGGATAAGAATCTGCCTGCCAATGCAGGGGACACAGGTTTGATCCCTGGTCTGGGAAGATCCCACATGCTGCGGATCAGCTAAGCCTGTGCGCCACAAATACTGAGCCTGTGCTCTAGAGCCCGCGAGCCACAACTACTGAGCCCACGTGCTGCAACTACTGAAGCCCGCGTGCCTAGAGCCCGTGCTCTGCCACAAGAAAAGCCACCGCAATGAGAAGCCTGTGCACCACAACGAAGAGCCCCCGCTGGCTGCAACTAGAGGAGGCGCGTGCACAGAAATGAAGACCCAGCACAGCCAAAAATAAATAAATTTATAAAAACCAACAAACAAAAAGAAAACAAACTTATGGTTACCAAAGGGCAAGGGGGTGGGGGAGGGATAAATTAGGAGTTTGGGATTAGCAGATACAAACAATGATATATACAAAATAGATAAACAACAAGGTCCTGCTGTATAGCACAGGGAACTATATTCAATATCCTGTAATAAACCATAATGGAAAAGGAAAAAAAAATGACTTCATGGATGTCATTGTGATTGTATAGTTTTTCCTATTTTTGAAAATTTTACATTACAAATCATAAGATCTGGGTCTGATAACTGGATTTTTTTCTATTGTCTCTTTTTTAAAAAATTATTTTTATTTTATATTGGACTATAGTTGATTTACAATGTTGTGTTATTTTCAGATGTACAGCAAAGTGATTCACTTATACATACATATATATATATATATCCTTTTTCAAATTCTTTTCCCATTTAGGTTATTACAGAATATTGAGCAGAGTTCCCTGTGCTATATAGTAGGTCCTTGTTAGTTATCTATTTTTAATATAGTAGTGTTTATATGTCAATCCCAAACTCCCAGTTTATCCCTCCCCCCAACCCTCGACCCTTTGGTAACCATAAGTTTGTTTTCTAAGTCTGTGAGTCTGTTTCTGTTTTGTAAATAAGTTCATTTGTATCATTTTTTTTTTAGATTCTGCATATAAGCAATATCATATAATATTTGTCTTTCTCTGTCTGACTTCACTTAGCATGATAATCTCTAGGTCTATCCATGTTGCTGCAAATGGCATATTTCATTCTTTTTAATGGCTGAGTAATATTCCATTGTATATATGTACTACATCTTCTTTATCCATTCATCTGTCACTGGACCTTAGGGCCTCCATGTCTTGGCTGTTGTAAACAGCGCTGCAGTGAACATTGGGGTGCATGTATCTTTTTGAATTATGGTTTTCTCTGGATATATGCCCAGGAGTGGGATTGCTGGATCATATGGCAACTCTATTTTTAGTTTTTTTTTTTAATTAATTTTTATTGGAGTATAGTTGCTTTACAATGTTATGTTAATTTCTACTGTAGGGAAAAGTGAATCAGCTATACATATACGTATATCCCCTCTTTTTTGGATTTCCTTCCCATTTAGATCACCACAGAGCACTGAGTAGAGTTCCCTGAGCTATACGGTAGGTTCTCATTAGTTATCTATTTTATACACAGTATCAATAGTGTATATACATCAATCCCAATCTCCCAGTTCATCCCACCCCCACTCTTGATATCCATGTTTGTTCTCTAAGTCTGTGTCTCTGTTTCTGCTTTGCAAATAATATCATTTATACCGTTTTTCTAGATTCCACATACATGCGTTAATATACGATATTTATTTTTCTTTCTGACTTCGCTCTGTATGACAGTCTCTAGGCACATCCACCTCTCTACAAATGACCTAGTTTTGTTCCTTTTTATGGCTATTATTCCATTGTACATATGTGCCACATCTTCTCTATCCATTCCTCTGTTGATGGACATTTAGGTTACTTCCATGTCCTGGCTATTGTAAATAGTGCTGCAATGAACATTGGGGCACCATGTGTCTTTTTTTTTTTTTTTTTTTTTTTGTGATACGTGGGCCTCTCACTGTTGTGGCCTCTCCCGTTGCGGAGCACAGGCTCCGGACGCGCAGGCTTAGCGGCCATGGCTCACGGGCCCAGCTGCTCCTTGGCACGTGGGATCTTCCCCGACCGGGGCACGAACCCGTGACCCCTGCATCGGCAGGCGGACTCCCAACCACTGCGCCACCAGGGAAGCCCGCTATGTGTCTTTTTGAATTATGGTTTTCTCTGGGTATATGCCCGGTAGTGGGATTGCTGGGTTATATGGTAATTCTATTCTTAGATTTTTAAGGAACCTCCATACTGTTCTCTGTAGTGGCTGCACCAAGTTACGTTCCCACCAACAGGGTGGGAGGGTTTCCTTTTCTCCACACCGTCTCCAGCATTTATTGTTTATAGACATTTTGATGATGGCCATTCTGACTGGTATGAGGTGATATCTCATTGTAGTTTTGATTTGCATTTCTCTAATAATTAGCAATGTTGAGCGTCTTTTCATGTGCTTTTGGCCATCTGTATGTCTTCTTTGGAGAAATGTCTATTTAGGTCTTCTGTCCATTTTTTGATTGGGTTTTGTTTGTTTGTTTTCCCCTCTCTCTTAGTTTTCTGTCATCTTGGTCTCATCTCCTGATACACCTGAATTTTGGATACTGTGTATAAAATATAGTAGAGATAATTCTAGGTTATTGATAATGTCATTTTCCTCCAAAAAGGATTAACTTTTGCTTCTTTTAGTCAGAATCAGAGATTGAGCTGATTCACTGCTTTGCCTCAGACTTTGTAAAGCTGTCCTATTCCTCCTTGATCCTTACTTCCTTTCTTATTCTCACCCCTTTTCCTGTTTTCCTACTAGGTGGTTTTGTTCTGGTTGATTTGCAAAAGCTCTCTTTGTATGTAAGAGACAGGCTCTTTGCCTATATGTGCTACAAATGTTTATCACCAGCAAATATGGTTTGTCTAACTGCTACATTTTAGGATTTTTTAAAAGGTTTTTTGTAGCCTTTCTATTGTCCTTTTAAAATGTTAATATTGCACAAATATTTATAAACTACCCACATATAATCACAATACACTTATACATCCACGTGCACAGACAAGACATTATTATATTACTCAGGTTCTTTATATCATAATTTTTGAGGGATCAAGGTTGATTTGCCAATGACTAATGGTAGTGATTTTACCCTTTCTCATGATAAAGAGTGATGTTCTTGGTCTTTTTTACCTAGAATTTGATCTTGTCAAGTGTTAAAATGTTATGATCCATGTGTTTTGGAAATGCTGGGGGTATGGTGTAGATTCTGATTTTGTCTTTGTCTCTTTAATTCAGGATTCTTCAGTTCTTTTCCCCCTCTTTTAAGTTAGAAGTAAAGAATGGATTCTATGGTTAAATAACCTGAGAGATATCATAGGAGGAGAAAGTGGGCCTGTACCTGAGTCTTAAAGTATAAATAGGATATGAATGGGTAGAAGTGTGTGGGCCTTCCCGACAAGGGAGAAGGATTAAAAAAGAAATGAGGATAGGGTAGAAAATGAAGTATGTTCAGAATGTGAAAAGAGGCTCTCGGGAGCAGGAAGTCAAGAAATAGGAAGCAAATGTGGGTTAATGAGGTAGGATCACATTCTGGAGGATCCTGAAAGCTAGGTGGAAAAGTAATTCTTTATAAATTGGCTATTCTTAATGCAAATAACCAGATGAGTACATATTTACAAAATAAGCTTTGTGTCAAAGCTCGCTGTACGGAATCATCCGTCAAGCTTGTTTGTCTTGATTCATTTTCCTTTATTCCAAGAGCTCAGAGCAGTGCACCATGATTCACATTAACTAATCTAATGCACATTCTTTGAGTTTTATTTTGTATCTGACATTCTAACCAGGTGATTTTTAGAGTGATGGTTCAGATTGGTAACCTCGCCTCAAAGAGATATTTTAAGTCTGTCATATTGTGGATCAGTTGAGAACTGCTTTCCTTCAGTTCTGTTTTTCTCCTTCCTTTTCTGCTTATGCCCACCCCCAACATCATAAATGTAAGTTTCCTTGCATATATTAAGCAGATGAGATGAAAATATGCTAAATATGGGGAGATGGCCATGTTTGCAGGCCTGGACTGTTCAGTTGTCTCTCAAGAAGCATGTAGGATGGTGGCTTATTGAGAGTTGAATGAAGCAATGAATACAGTTGCCAGTAGTATTTTCAAGTACCCACTGTGCACAGGTGATGTGGAAAGATGCGGAAGCCAGGACCTTCTATTGAATGATATCACTGAGTTTGGGATGGTCAGCTCTTCAGAAACAGCACTTTTACTCCCAAAGGGAAATTGAGAGAACTGAATGTTTTCCTTTTAGCTTTGACATAAAATTGTATGTTTTTTCTATTCCCAGGGGACTCCTTCTCACAGTTCCGGTTTGCCGAGGAGAAAGAGTGGGATAGTGAAGCTTCCTGCCCCAAACAGGTAAGGTGAAGCTCTGTCTGGAATGTGGATTGGCTCTTCTCAAGGCTGGAGACCAGCACCTTTCACATTGTTGTTGCGATGGAGACTTCACATAGAGGAGAGTCTAGTCATTCATGTACAGTTCAGCCTCAGTGACCTAAATTGCTCAGAAAGTTTTCAGGGAGCTTAAATTATACAAGCTCTTGGAGCCAGAGTTGACCTTTATACCTGGGCATCTATGTGAACTACTTATATAGCTCATATATGACTATAGTTCATATAGACTGGGTTGTAGGGCTGAAAGTTTATAGTCACGATTTTGAGTGGATTTCTTTGCCATTTGGCCTTCCTTCTTTTCCCTTTCTGTGAAAATTCATCTTAGGCTTGAGAATTAATTTATTTCTCCCACACTGTTTTTGGTGTTAGGTAAGAAAATCCTTAACTTTATAGTTTTAAATAACTCTTCTTCTATAATTAGGAGAATAAAGCTATAAAATAAGAACAAGTATCATAGAAGTCTTTCAGTGAATCCATAGCACCCACACACTTTATTTGCTTTGTATTGCTGCCATATTTTCCTCCCAAGGAGTTTTGATGATTCTCCAGGCAGGATTTCACTGAACCTTTCCGTACGAGAGACGACAGGTATTCTCACCCTTTTTAAAATGCACAGAGGATGAGTAAGTGCTGGCGTGGCATTTGCTTTCGACTCCGGGGCTGGAGCATACTATCTGATACAGTGATCAGACAGCCTGCCCACAGCTTCAGACAGGAGGCCGGGCAGCAGACCTGATGGATAAAGGGCGGGACCTTCCTCCCCATTCCGCTGTCAGCTCAGTACGCACACAGTAGGTGGCTCACACCCCCAGGTGGGCTGGCTTCACGTTCAGTTGTTTGGGACGGACATTGACTTAAAGACAGAGTGGAGGGAAGTGACTTGTAAAATGACTTCCTGTTCCTGTACAAAGAGTATGTTTTATAATATAGAAAAATTTGGGAATTAAAAATATTTGTTTTTGCTTGGGTCTGTTGGGGCATGTACCTGAGTATGGTTTAGAATTCTAGCACAAGTTGTAAACAGACGAACACAGATCATGGAGGAATTCAGTGAAAGCCAGACAACTCCCATTTCAACTCCTTTGCACCATGTTGGCTATCAGAGAACATTTTGTTACCCTGAGAGTTTCAGATAATTCTAAGGTTCTTTATTTATCAAAACACATGTTCTTTATTAGATATTTTATTAGATGTAGCTTATTGGAAGATGAATGAGACAGAGACCATGCTTGTTCATCGCCCTAGGCCCCTTACCTTAGCACAGTGGCTGACACATACTAGATGGATGGTAAATATTTACATGATAAATGAAAAAGAATGCAACATAAAATAAGTGGTATAATAAATGAATGAACATAATACTGTGGGAGAAAGCTGCTTTGGGCTGGAAGTGATTGAGAGTAGGAGCATGGGATAAAGATCATTTGAATGGGCCTTGGTGGATGAGTATGTTCTGGTAGGTTCTGTCTGGTGAACAACAGGAGAATGATGAGATCTGAAAGACCAGGCTATGCCCAGAGTTGGGAGCATAGCTGGAGTGTAGCTGGAGTGTGGATTCTCAGAAGAGGCGGCTTCCAGGGTGGGTCTGGGCCACTTAGTACCAGTGGTTTGGTCTTCTTTTTTTTTTTTCTTTGCGGTACGCAGGCCTCTCACTGTTGTGGCCTCTCCCGTTTGCGGAGCACAGGCTCCGGACGCGCAGGCTCAGCGGCCATGGCTCACGGGCCCAGCCGCTCTGTGGCATGTGGGATCTTCCCGGACCGGGACACGAACCCGTGTCCCCTGCATCGGCAGGCGGACTCTCAACCACTGCGCCACCAGGGAAGCCCTGGTCTTCATTTTTATCTAGGGGCAGTTTAGCCTGTGGGTCAGAGCATAGACTTCAGAGACGCAAACCTGAGCGTAAATACTAGTTCTCATCTGGAAAATGGAACTAATAATAAAATGTAACTCAGAGTTGTCATGAGGATTATATTAGATTATAAATAAAAGTCTTTCTGTACAGTTCCTGACACAGAGGAGACACTCAAAATTAGCTCTTATTACTACTGTTACTTATTACTGTTTAGCAAGACAATGGAAATGGCTAGACTGGACCTCCGCAATATTGGGAAGGAGGGACTGAAGAGGTCAGAGGCTGGAGGCTGGGAGAGCAGGTAGGAGGATATTACGTTGGGTGAACTGGAGGGGACGTGGGCCGACAGCATGGGCCGTGAGAGGGAAGACGGTTCACTGGCAGATGGGACTGGAGGACGTGGTAGATTGCGTCACGGGCCAGACGTGAGACGTGAGGACAAGAAAGATTCGCAGGGGCGCTAAGCTTCCCGGCACGCTGATGAGGTGAGGATTGATGGAGCGAGAGAAGGCAAGCTTGATTGTGAGCATCTTGAGTTGAGGTATTAGTAGGACGCATCCCAAACTGAATTCATCACTTCGCCACCGGCACTGTTTTGTGTCCCACATCTCTCCTCACTCGGTTCTCTTTATTTTTGCTTACGTGAGAGAGAAAAAGAAGAGAAGAATCTGTCTATCTACCTGTCTATCTATCAGTTGTTCCTCATGTGCTCCTTTGTCCCCAGCACAGCCAGTGACATGAAGCAGTGAAGAGTTTGCCAGTGGGTCCTGGCGGAGGCCCCAAAGGGCACCCTGATGGGAGAGGGCCCAGTGCTGTCCCTGTGACATGCCTTCGTGTCTCTGTGGCTCACATGCAGGGTGAGGGGAAGGTGGCCTGGCAGTCAGGGTCCCTGCTTCAGCCGTGTTGGCCCCATTACCGCAGGGGAGTTGGTCCCTTCAGTCCATGAATGGCGTTTTCAGACCTGTCCTTTGGACAGTGTGGGGACATGTGAGGAGGGAATGGGTGGGAGGAGAACTGAGGGTGAAAAAAATAGGTCCATTATTTTTTGAAAATCATCTGAAGCTTTTTTTTTTCATTCCATTTTTCAGTTGTGTTGACTAGTGACTTATTTAGTCAGTAGAGCTTCCTCGAGCAACCACTGAGCACTGGGTGGCACGCCGTGGTTCCTGAGTGCGTGGCTCTTAAGGGAACAGGCACTCAGGCCCACCCCTGAGAGCGCAGTTCTGAATGAGGCCTGATGCTCTGTACATGGAAAGCGCCCCAGCTTTCTCTAAAGTGTCACTTGATCTGGGCACTTCCACTGTAAAGTGTCCCCGTGGTCCCTGAGTACCCAAATGAATGTGCACAGTGAGTGCTGTAGCTCTCGAGGAAGGTGCAATGGTCTGATCAGAGGCTGTAAGTGGAGTTTCTAGTAGGTTTGTTCCTCACCAAATGGTGTACCTTTACACAGACACTGAGACTCGGAGTCTGATTGGCTTCCTGGACAGGGAGGAACCTTCAGGAATAGATTCTCACCACCGAGTCTGTGCGCACACTGATGGCGGAGAAGTGGGGTTGGAGGGACTTTGTTCTAACAGTCAAGGCTGGCCTCCTGCCCCCAGCCTCCGAGTCTGCAGGAGAGGGGGCGCTGGGGTGGCCAGGCTGCGTGCTCCAACTGTGAGTGACTGTCAGCGTTGGCCAGGTGGATGTGGGGATGGGGCTCTCCGGGCAGAGATGACCCACCAGTTATTTACAACATGGAGCAAAAAAGCTAATTCATGGTGGTTATTCCAATTAAATCTATTTTCAAATTCACATTTTACTATTACAAGCAATTCACTTCAGCTCCCTTTATATCTAAGGCCTTCAGCTGTAGCCCTTTAGCGGACAAACTGGTGACAAAAAAGGGGAAGTCTTCTTACACGGTGGTGTTTGATGGTAGGTTCTAGGCTCTAGGACTGCTGCAGGGAGACGAGGAGAAATCACTGTGCTGGGCTGAAGTGTCTTGAGGTCCTCATGGAGGCGGTGCCCTATCACCTGGGCCTTGGATGGTGGGTGGGAATTGGAGACGTGGGGAAAGGAGACACTCCAGCAGCTGAAGGTCCATCACTTGGGACTCAGCACATAAGCACAGCCTGGCCATTCCCTGGATCTCACAGACTTTTCATTGTTAACGATATACCTTGTAGCCGTGTCACACATGATGCAAAAGTGGGGAGGAAGTTTGGGCACTTCTAGCTGGACCCCAGCACGTCTCAGCGGGCCTTCTCCAGAGAGCTGAGACAGCAGCATGTGAATGGTTGGCAGGCATCGTGGACGGAAAGTTCTTGCTCTTTTATAGGCTGAAAGCAGGGGGTCTATCCGGGTGACTTTGCAGACACCTTGGCAGTGGGAAGGGTGAGATTTCCAGTTTGTAATGTGGTGACTTACTCGTGGGATAAGCATTCAGGATCCCACTTTTCTAGTGGTTTGAGAGGTCTTCTCCACACTTCGAAACAAAGACTGGCCGTGCTGGTCTTGATCAAGCACTTGATGTGCTGAGTGCAGGACTGAGGCAAGGCCTGCGCATGTAGTGCATTTCCCACTCTCCTGCTCCCTAAATTCTCTGTGTTTTTAGATGTAAGTTCCTTTTTTTCCAGGGTGAGGGGCCACATCTGCTGCTGCCAACCTTGCTTACCTTAGAGCTAGCCATCTCCGGAAGCTTTCAGAAGGGCAGTTGAAAAGCTGTATTGCTTCTTTTGACCCCTGTGTACTGCTGTTGTGAGGCTCAGGGGTTTGAGTGGGTCTGCATTTAGTGTTGGCGCTCTACTTGAGAGCACCAGGAATGACTCCCCACCTCCAGTCGTTATAAACCCATCTACCCAAGGCATCCTTACAGTGGAAGAGAGATTAGACTCCATGACCCCTGGGTGTTGTTCTCTAACTTGAAATCAGTGATTGCAGCGTAAGTCATGGTTCTACCTGGGTCTGTGATAGTCCTTGGTAGACAAGGTGGTCCGTGGTGGCTGCCTCTAATGTGGCAGCCACCTTTTAGTTTTTCCTTCTCTTGGGTGGCCGGGGCACCTAGAAACAGCCGTTAGGGGTCATGCGATAGCCTGGAACGTTTTCTCAGACATGGTCAATTTGTGAGGGCGTTGCCTGGATGGGATTTTGCGTCTGTGCACGGGAAGGGAGTTCAAGGGACTTATAGTGTTGGCCTCACACAAAGTGCTACCAGCTGGAGGGTAAGTTTCCATCCTCTGCTTTCTGGTTGGAAGAGAGAGAAGCGTATGCCTCATGGGCTTCTTTGGCTGTGACTGTCCTCCCCATCTGACTGCTGAGACAGCTCTTCCCTGCTCTCCTGAAGGCCAGCCATCTGAATCTGGGGGGAGATGTCCAGTTAGATTTCATTAAGTACTTTGAATTTTTTTCAGTAATTCCAAGAGCATCCGCAGGTTCCAGGTTTCCGTGCAGCCTTGATGTGAGGTGATCACCACCCTGCTGCTGCTCTGGCAGCCTGAGCTGTGGCTCAGGAAGGTGCTTTTGGTTTTGCTTATCTTAATGCAGAGATGGTAGAAATTAGAACCATCTCAAGTGTGATTTATGATCTGATTACTCCCAGCTAAAAGTAATAGATGATTTATTTACAGTTACTACCTATCGTCTTGTGCTCTTTTATTTCTGAAAGGTCATATGTAATCATCTTTTTTTTTTTTTTTTTTTTTGCCGTACGCGGGCCTCTCACTGCTGTGGCCTCTCCCGTTGTGGAGCACAGGCTCCAGACGCGCAGGCTCAGCGGCCACGGCTCACGGGCCCAGCCGCCCCGTGGCATGCGGAACCCTCCCGGACCGGGGCACGAACCCGTGTCCCCTGCATCGGCAGGCGGACTCTCAACCACTGCGCCACCAGGGAAGCCCCATACGTAATCATCTTGATCAATAATCTATCTTTTTTTTTTATATATAGAATTCAGCATTTTATGTGGACTGTGAGTCATTGGTTCGAGCCCTTCAAGAACTGCCTCTCTCACTCCGACTCAATGTTGCTGCTGAATTGGTCCAGGTAAAAACCCTGACAGCATCCTGAGGCTGGTATGAATTAGGGCAGGAGAAGAAGAAGAATGAAAAATATCCCCCTGCAGGATGGTTCAGACTCAGCTTTTCCTTTCATAAAGCTGAGCGTTTTGTATCAGGTAGAATTTCATAAAGTTTTGAGGGAGAATGAAATACTTTTTAAAGGTTTTTTTTTTTTTCATTTTATATTTGAAACATTTTAAAGGATCAAATGTAATAGAATTGAATGAAATTTAAAAGTATAGAGTCTGCTTTGTATTGTACTCAAAATGTTTATGTGCCAGGCTTTGTGTTAGGCACTAAGGTTACCGTGGTGAACAGACAGGCATGGTTCCTGCCCTCATGGAGCTTAATCTATTGGGAAAGACGGGTATTGATCAAGTTATCGAATTATACGTCCTGTGAAGGGGAAGGACAGTATGCTGTGAGAATATGTAATAGTGAACCTGATCGACTTTGGTGTGATTAGGAATGGCTTTCCTGAAGAAGGGACAGATAAGCCGAGATCCAAAGTATAAGAACATTTGAGTTGGGATTGAAAGAAGAGTGACCCCATCAGATCTGCATTAACAACTGTGCTAATAACAGTAAAAAAGAACATTCTGGCTGCAGAATGGAGAGAGGACTCTATTGGGGTGTCTGTGTTTAGGGTAAATCTGCGCATGCACACCCATGCAAGAGTAGAGTGGATGAGGGGAGGCAAATTAGGAGGCCACTGCACGGTTCAGGTGAGTAATACTGTAGCTTGGACCAGGCTAATGATGGTAGAGATGGCAGGGAACTGGACTTTACCAAGAGGTGTATTACAAAAGTAAAATGAACAGGACTTGGTGACATACTGGAAATGGAGAGGAAGCAGGGAAAGAATTTTCTAGGTTTTCCAGCCTGTGCAACTCAGTGGTAGCTAGTATTAGGATGGGTGAGGCTTGGACATTATGGGTTTGTGTCTCTGAGATGTCAGAGTGAAAGTATTGGTCAGTTGGATATAGAAATTTATAGTTCAGAATCAAGGGTTGGAAATATAAATTTGGGAGATATCAGTTGTAAGGTAGCTGAGAGAGGAGCCATTGAATCGGCTAAGAGAGGAGGGGCCCAAGGGCTATACCAGAAGGAACTTTGAAATTGAATTGTGGCTAGATTGGATTTTGTTAAAAAGTGAAACCCTAGGCAGTACTAGTTGTCAATAGAATCCCAGCAACTAAGATGATCAGTTTTGTTCTGCAGTTGAATGTGGTGCTAAGCCTGAGCATAGGCAGGTATGCTCAGTGGGTGTCCGCCCAGTTGTCTCTGTGGCACTTACGTCAAGTTTAGGGCAGCAAGTAGAATTCAGGGCTGGAGGATACTTAGGGGCAGAGAAGTAGAGGGGATAGCATTTGCCTCTGATGGGGAATCACCCTGGGACTTCTTTAGGAGTGTTTGGGGGTATTGGGGCTTGTCTTAGTGATGGGGTGAGCACCCCTCTTCCTCTGGCTGTCCAGAGATGGTCAAAGTCCTGACATACTTGGTTTGATCCCACACAATGAGGAGTGGTTAACAGAACACATCAGGGAAACACTGAGATGAAGGTGATGGGGGCCCCAGGATTGAGGAGAGAAACGGGAAGTGTTGTGAGCATTTGAAAGTGAAGGATGATGTTGTCAGAGGCAGGCCTCAGAGGAAAGATATAAAATAATTGTACTTTTGTAAATAGTAACTTTTAACTATCTAGCCAGGTTTTCCCACTCCTCTCATGAGGTAGAGCGGTTATTCTCAACTGTGTTTGCATGTTAGACTCACCCGGGGAGTTAACAAACAAACAAAGACAATGCCAGCCAGCCAGTGCAGACCAGCTGAATGATTCCAGGATTAGAACAGGGGACCACATCCCATCTTCGCCCTGCACACTGACAGTGCTGGATGAATATTGGAGTTCCTGTGTAAAGCCATGCGGTCTTAAAAGCCCTGAGGAGCTATTAGCAAACTGGATCTGCTCAGGGTGCTTAAATGTACAAATAAGGGGACAACACCTCCAACAGCAGCTGACCCTCCTTCTGAACCTACCCACTGATGCCAGCCTGGTCACTACAGGCCTCCCTCCAGAACCGTGGTTCTCAGCCTTCCTCTACATTACAGTCACCTGGGGGGAGGGTTTAACTTTATTAAATTATAACGTATAGAGAAGTGCGTGCGTAAGTCTTTACACATGCAGATCAAGGATCAGAACGCCGCCTCCCCCCACCCCCCGAGGCAATACTTCCCTAAGACCACTATCCTGACTTCTCAGACTCAAGATTAGTTTTGCCTGTTGGGGGCGTTTTTACAAATGTAATCAAATGGAATGTTTTCTTCCCTGTCTGGCAATTTTTACTCAAATAACGTTACTAAGGGTCATCCTTTTCTCGGTGCGTTTGCTCCTTCATCTGCTGTGTTTGTGCATCTTACTACAGCGAACGGACCCGACTTGCTAATTACTTCTCCGTGACTTCTTACAAACGTTTGCCTCGTCGCAGGCTTAAGTATACATTCACATAGACCTCCAGGACTGTCCTTTCTCAGGCTGGTGACAGGAGTGCACAGCCCTTTTGATTTCAGCTCTGAGCAGGTTGGCACATGGCTGAGGTGGGCACGGTAGGGAGGTCTCCCACACTTACCCCTGCAGCAGTAAGAGGGGTGCTGGCAGGACCTGGATGGAGACACTTTGTGACCTTCCCGTCTGAATTGAGTTTCCTACTCCACAAAGTCTGATGGCTTCCTTTGCTTTAATTTCTGCTTGAGCAAATACGGCAGGACTCACATTAACTCAGATACTGCGCTTCTCTTTCAGACTGCCCTTCCTTTAGAGCTTCCTCAGGTGAAACCAAAGAGAAATAACGATGGCAAGGGACTAGGGATGCAGTTAAAGGGGCCCTTGGGGCCTGGAGGAAAGGGGTCCATCTCTGAGCTGAGATCTGCTGCCGCTGGCTGCCCCATGTACCTGGGTAAAGACAGCCTAGGACCGGGCCCTTCCAAGGGTTCTCAGAACCCCGCTTCCCCACTGCAGTCGGCAGCAGACGATTTGGAAGAAGAACTAGATCTGCTGCTTAATTTAGATGCGTCTGTAAAAGAGAGAGGTGACATCTTAGCAGACCAGACAGCTCAGGACCTGGAATCTGAGAAAGATGAGGAGGTGGCCCAAGAAGAAACAGGTATGGTTTTCCTTTTATTCCCCATCCATCTTCTCGATTCTGGTGTTTTTCTGAGAATTAGCTTCACCTCTGTCACATCCCTACACATCTTCATCAGTGTCTGACATCGATCTGGCCTTGTCCACTGACATCTATTTCTGTGCTCACGTCTCTGCTTCCCCCTGAGCTGACCTTTCTGACAACATTGCTCTCACTCGATATACTGAGCTTCCAAAGCTGCTACCTGCCTGATTGCAATCTTAAACCCGGGGCTGCAAATTGAACTCGTGCTGTAAAAGGCATTTCGATACCCGTGGCCTCAGCTGTGCAGCAGCAGACCTTTTAATCGACTGTCTGAACAGGCCTGTTGATCAGTTCTTTGTGCTTCTTGCTTTGCTATTTCAATCTTGGTTGTTTTTTTTTTTTTTTTTTTACAAAAGAAGACTTCCTCATTTGTGCATGTTCTGTTAGATGGCGGGCCATCTGACAGGGAGAGGCCTAGTGACTGCCCCGTCCATACACTGCATTCAGGACCCTTTAATGGCTTTCGTTTCCAGGAAACTAAGCTGTTAGTCTTTTAAAAAAAAAAACTAGTGAACTGTGAAATTCATCATCCAAATAAATAGAAGAGCAAATCTCTACTCCATTTATGAATTCGTTTAGGTATTACTGGATCTTCTTAGGGAGCAGGAAAATAATAGAACGTTTCCCCTTATCGTGAGCAAAGTCAGAATTTGGCCGATTTCCAGCATGGATCAAACCCCAGGGAAGCGTTAACCCTCGGTTCTGGCACTAACGTGAAGTTGTTAACGTTGCTTTTATTTTTTTAGATCCTGCAAAACCGTCTGCGTTGGAAGGAAAGAACGTGGCATCTGAGCAACCGAGTATATCCAGAAATGTTACTGAGGAAGAGCTTGAAGATTGGTTGGACAGCATGATTTCCTAAACTCGATGAAAGAAAGAAAAAAAAAAAAAGAGAGAGAGAAAGAAAATGAAAAGTGCCTGAAGCCAACTTTGGTTGCCTTGTAAGGGAAGGCGGGCCCAAGGCTGTCCTTCCAGAACAGCTGGTTTACAAGCACAGCCCGAGCCCGTGTGGCCATCACGCTTAGCAGTAGACGCCTACCTCCCCCATGTTCCACAAATCCGAAATGAGACAGTAAGAGGCTCGCTGCACTTGTTCTCTGGCTTGGTCATTGAATAGATTTCTTAAGGGCAGGAGATGTTACGGCCCTTGTGTCCAGTTTCTTCCTCTCAATTTTTACAGCATAGCAGGTGCTGCTGATAAAGAGAGCTAAGCAACCAGGCATGCATTTGGCCAGAATAAACAAACGCTGGTTTGTGGTTTTTTTTCTTCCTTTCTTTCTTGTGCGGGGAGCCGTGCGCTGTTTGTTAGTCTCCTGTCCCTTTTCCCAGCACCACAGGGTGGTTGTAAATCATCCAGAAAGGGTGCGTTACAAGAGGCCAAACCATGAATTGGTGATTATGACTTTATTGCAGTGGGCACTTCATTTTATTTAAGGAGATTCACCTAAACAGAGCAGCTCCACTACTTACAAGGGAGACCATAAAGCGTTACTCTATTTGGCATAAGATTGAGATTTTTTTCTGAGTTTTCAGTACAGTACATTTTTTCTCTAATAACAGCAGTTGACAAGCTGTTACTGAAAAAAAAAATCATATGAATAACCTTTGAGTGCAGTTTCATAAAGTAAGACAGAAGATCCACACAACTAATTAATGGAACTGTCCGTCTCGAACATAAATGTAAAAAACTTGCATAGCTATATCTAAAGAGGTTTTGTAAGGCACTTACTCGATATTTCAGTGTCGACAAAGTGGCGGTTTGTTTGTTTGTTTCTATTATTTCTTTAACTGCTTAAAGCTTTTCAAGCTGATTCTGGATACATTCACTAGCAAGTACCATGGGAAAAATTAGACTGCAGTTTTAAAATGATTTTTTTGTAGCTCAGACCATGAGTCACTAGTGGAGTACCATCATGTGGAATTCAAGTGTTTAAAATTCCAGGTGTTATGCATCCCAAACTTCCTGCTTCTCTAGCCCTTCCCTCAGTGGTGCCATCCCAACGAACTAGTTAGAACTGAGAAACCTGAAGGCTTTCAACTAGAGCTTCCTTGAAGCTGTGCCATACTCTTTTTTTCTTTCAACACTTTTGACAGGTTATCTCGCACAGTGTACGTCCATTAGATACAAAAAGCCAAATCAATTCCAAAATATCACAGATGTGTAACAAACACTTCCTTGTAAGGGAGGCATTTAGGAAATGTCACTTTTCAAATGTGTTGCAGAACTGTTAAGAGAAGGATTTTATTGACTGTCCAGAATGGTGGAGGCTTCTTTCATTCCCATTTATCCAAGCTGATCTTCGTACTGTTTCCGGAAGCAGTCACCAGCAGGGAAGAAATCCCAACACCTTTCTTGGTACATCTTCCAGACATAAGATTCCTGAAATAACGGGAACAAAGGAGACTTCTTTATAAACCACAGTAAGCTGGAACCCAATTTATTTTCCCTCTATATGTCTCCCTTTGGGAATACTGATGTGGATAAATACGAGGCCCAACTGGTACATTCTTTCTTGCACTGTTCCCAGCTCAGGCTGTTTTGGGAGCAAGAAGTTTCTCCCTTCTTTTCTCCCTTCCTCTGACCACCCCCCTACCAAAACAAACAAAAACCCCACAGTGAAACCAACTCGATGATCGCCACTAAAAATACTTAAAGATTTAGCAGAGGGTTGACTCCATGCCATTTGTAACTGGTAGAAGGCAGAATATACGAATCCAATGATGTTTGAGTATTTGGTAAGCTACCTTTTCCTCCCCTATTCTCTATCTTTACACTTCTTTTTCATACTTAGTCACAGAATCCCTCTGACACATACTTTCACGCACCCTGTCACACCCACACCTCCGCATCCCTGTGTCACCCACACAGGAGGTCGTTATCTTTCTCAGGCTGTCGTCTCACCATTTTACTCCGACTCTCCTGCTCTTTGTTGGAGCCACCCACTCAGCTTTGCATTGTCTTTTTCTCTGTAACGTTCTCCCCACCTCCAGCTATTCTGCCCTGAAGCAGCAACTATGAGGATTTAGAAAATGTCAGTGTTTGCTGGGAAGGATAACCAAGGGGGCCTTTTGGAATAGATGGGAGTTGCCTTAGAATTTAGGCTTCTTAAGTCCCAAAGAGATGGTGGAACAATGCAGGAAGCAGTGGGAAAACGCACAGAAGAGACAAATGGGGGTCACCTCTCTATTTCAGATATCCTGTGCTCTACTGAGGCTTGACGTAGAAAGGGGAAGCTCTATCTTAAGGTGTTTCTCACCTGACCTGTGTGCTCTGTTTCATCTTTATTAATCAAATACATCAGGAAGAACCTGGAATGAGGAACAAAGGTTTAACAACTGAGAAAAAGACAGTATTAGATTCTTTGGTTAGAAAACCAAAGTCAAGTGAGCTGGAGAGAGGATTAAATTGTTCAGCATCATGCTGACTCCTATACCTTTCAGAATAGGGGAAACGTGGCATGACAACATATGCCATCATCTTCTAATAATAATATACATTTATCTCAAAATTAGCCTTTTTGTGAGGAGAGGTCCTTAAACCTTGAGCTAAGATCACTTGTGAGGAAGAATTTTGGCTACCATTTTATTGTTTTTTTAAAAAGTCCTAAGGTAAACAATAAAATGGTAACCAAAACTCTTACCACATAATTCTTAGTAGGCCAATTTATCATCTTATAAGAATATAGAATTGAAATTTTGTGTGTCTCAAAGATACGTTATGGAAAAGTAAAAATATTTACTCTCACTCAGTTGCCCTGGAATTCAGCAGCACGCAGGTGACGGGCCGCCTTGACAAGAGCAAATATGAATTGGTTGAGAGGAAGGCCTGACTGGAGGGGGGTTCAAAGGAGAGTAGGACGAGAGAGATTGGAGACCCTGAACATGCACACTTTTCCAGTTTTGCTGGAAGGGAAGGAAGAAGCAGGGCAACAGCTGGAAGGAAAAGTGGGGTCACAGCCTTTTTTCTTTGTTTAGGATTAAATATTATATGGTGATAGGAAAAATTCAGCAGAGAGGAAAATTGCTGGAGTTAATGTGACCTTGATTGAGAAGGGATGGGATCTAATTCCAGGTTGAGGGGCTGACATTTGCTTGGAGCAGAAACAGTCTGCAGTGCACATCTACCAATCAGAACAGGGGAGGGGCAGGGCATATGGACAAAGACATGGGCTCATGGGGACTCCTGCAAGTTCTTTCCTAATTGCCTCTACTTTCCGGAGACCAAGGAGGAAAAGGCATTGGCAGAGCGTGAACTACATGACGTAACTGTATTTTACTCACTGTTCCCCATCACCTTTGCTGACCAAGGATACTCACAAGTAGTTGGCTAAGTTGTGCTCTTGTAAGGTGTGTGTTTCAAAACCATGAGGGGTCGTGTCAAAGTAGTCATTGCCGATCCCACAGATGAAACATTTAGTCTAAGAAGAATAACAGGGAGAAAAGGCATGAGTAGGCGTGACATTACAGGCAGGTAGCAAAAGGGTGAGGATCTCTGCTTGAATTGAGAGACACTAAAATATTTCTCTCTTTCATGCTTTAGGCTGTTTGTTAGTCGTCTTCTCCAGAGTGTCACATACCTAGCTTCTACCTAGTGGAGGGTACTTGCTCCTTCCTAAGCCTGGGGCATGGCGGAGGCAGCAGGTGGGGGTGGTGGTAGGGTACAGAGCACAGAGGGTAGAGCAGAAGAAATGCCCAGAGCTGGTAGATGGGCCCGGAGAAGAGGACAGGCTTGGAAAACAATCATGGTTGGTAATTTTGCCTAGGGCTGGCCTTACATAAGAGTAGAACCTACTGTTTAAAAAATCCATGTGCTGTGAGATAACGGAAATCAAGTTGGGATTTAGTAGAATGGTACCTCCATATCCTCTCGTACTTGTTCCTGCTGGTCTCTCAGCTCCCCAAAAGCATCAATAATAAGACCTGGAATTTTAAATACAAAGACAAACAAAACACTTCAAATAACCTGTTTAGGCAGGGCAGAGGAATGACAGATGAATGGCAGAGGCTATTATGTTTTGTTTAAAAAAATGTGGAATATTACTCAGCCATAAAAAGAAACGAAATTGAGTTATTTGTAGTGAGGTGGATGGACCTAGAGTCTGTCATACAGAGTGAAGTAAGTCAGAAAGAGAAAGACAAATACCGTATGCTAACACATATATATGGAATTTAAGAAAAAA